CCACTAGGCCCCGCCCAATAAGCCCCGCCCACTAGGCCCCGCCCAATAAGCCCCGCCCAATAAGCCCCGCCCCATAAACCCCACCCACTAGGCCCCGCCCCCACTTGCCTGCTCCTCGCACCCACCTTGATGTGCTGGTACTCCTTGTCCTCCTCTTGCAGCACCTCCAGCTGCTTCAGCACAGACTCCTGCTGGTACTCCCCACGCTCCATCTGGGGGAGGAGAGAGGTGACGTGAAAGCAGTCGGGGGGTGGGGGGGGTAGGGGGAGCTGCGGGGGCAAGGCGCCCGACGAGAGCAGAGCTGTCCGCCCCCCGCATTCATATCAGTCAGAAGCTGCAACACCTCATCTTCTGTGTGAAATAAATATTAAATGAACAAGCCCCGGGTTAAAGACGGCATGAATTAATGAGCGTATGCTCCGGCCCCAATGTGGGTCACCATTTGTTTGGAAATTTAAATGATAGCCCTGACCCCCCCAGGGGTTTGATGTGGGGGGGGTGGTACCTGCGCTTCTCTCCTTCTGTGCTGTGTCATCCCTGTGTCACTCTGAATGAAATATGTAACACTAAAGCAGGCAATCCTTTAAGTGCATGTCTGGCTAGAGGAAAGGAAGGATGTGACCAGGGATGGGATGTGGATCTGTGTGCAGGGAATGGATGTGGATCTGTATCTGGGGGATAGGATGTAGGAATGGGATGTGGATCTGTGTCCGGGGCTGGGGATGTGGTTCTGTGTCTGGGAGACAGGATGTCGGAATGGGATGTGGATCTGTGTGCAGGGAACGGATGTGGTTCCGTGTCTGGGAGACAGGATGTCGGAATGGGATGTGGATCTGTGTACAGGGAACGGATGTGGTTCCGTGTCTGGGAGATGTGGATCTGTGGGTGACTCACCATAAGCTGCTTGATGGCGGTGTGCTCCTCCGTGTCGCGTGTGGCGCTGTGGTCCTTGTGCACGATCTCCACCCGGATGTCGCTCTTGGTCGACACAACGCCTTTCAGATCTGGGGAGCAGGGTGCCGGTGAGCTCGACACGGCGGCTGGGGGAGGAGCCTCAGCCTCTCTGTCCTGTCCTACAGGCAGAGCGCGCAGCGCGGCTCGGCGCGGCTTACAAGCCGGCGGTTTTCACGCAGCGGGCCGTGCGGCAGGCGGCACCTCCCGTTATGACACAGCCGGCGGCTCCAGAGTACAATAGAAAAACCTTCATTTACTTATAAACTGACAGGAGCCCATGAGGAATACGACAAGGCTTACTCTCGGTCTTAATTTTGCTTGCAAGATCTCTCTGGTGAGCAGCGATGGAAACAGGAAGTGAGGACATGACCAGCCGCACCTCCTCTGTGACACAACAGCAACAGATTGCATCATCATCATCATCATCATCATTATTATTGTGGTGCTTAGACGACACCTGTATCAAAAGTGATTCACAAGTTTATACCATTACATATATAGCTTGACAACATAATCCTTAGAGAGATAAGAACCAACTCTGGGTCCTTAACCAGCCGATAGGAGAGAGTTTGTAGGGGAAACGGGGATGACAGAAGAAGGATATAAAGTAGAAGATGAAGAAGAGGAGCATGAAGAAGATGAAGACGAAGAAGGAGGAGATAATGGTAATGAGCAGAGTCGGTAAAAGCTGGCATACAGACACAGGTCATAGTGACTGAAGCACTTCCCTCATGCCAGCAGGGGGAGCTCTTACTTCTCTGGGCGCGGGTGCAGCAGAATGCCCCGAGCGTGCCCATGAGGACGATGAAGGCCACGAAGGCACCCACGGCCACGCCGATGATGACGGCCAGGTGCAGGGACTCTGCAAGAGAGCACCGCGTGTGTGTTTACGGCTGCTGGCCACGCCCCCTTTTATACCGCAGATGTATTCCTTCACGATGCAGTCAGATCTTCTGGGGCAGTCATGCAGGAGAAGCTCTGGGGGGACCCCGGGCCTGGCCAGCATCCCCCCCCCCCATCTGTTCACTGATATAAATGAGGGCAGCTATCATCCCGGATTAATGTGACATTATAAAGCGACTCGGGAGCCGTGACCGAAAACGCTGAGATCATAGTTGGCGAGGATCAGACCCGTTTCTGCATCTGAGTTATGGGATGGAGCGTGTCGCCACCATGATTATCGGTTGGGGGGATATGCTGAGGATCTGACTGGATGGCGATGCTCTATGTGGATCCCCAAGACCTGTCGGCACCCATTGTGTCAGAGTACTCAGCTGACTAATCCAAGACAGGGTGCAGAAGATATAAGAGGCAGGCCACCTTTGTAGGCAGGCAGCAGTCGCTGGCTGACTGGCAAGACGACCCATCAGCAAATTATTCACACCTTAGAAAGCATGAAGAAGAAAATAACTCACCTGCTTTTTCAGGTGTGAATGAATTGTTAAATGGGTCATTTTCCATTCAGCAGAAGAATTTAACCTGAAAGACCCAGTCAATGTCACTGCGTAGATAAGCACATATAAAACCTGCAGACTGCACATTTCCTTTTACACGGCAAAAAATACAATGTGGATGGAAATCTGAGAATGTGGATAAAACACTGAGAATATGGATGGCACACGAAGAGCATGTGGGTGGAATGATGAAAATGTGAATATAACACTGTGAATAGGGATGGAACGCTGAGGGTAGGGATGGATCACTGAGGGTAGGGATGGAACACTGAGGGTAGGGATGGAAC